ATATATCATGTTAAAACCCAACTCAAAAGTGTACTGAGTAAATGAGGTTTGGCCATTTCAAAATCGATTTGGCCATTTCAAGCAACATTTAACACCTTGACCCACAACCTACATTTGATAACCAAGTTGCTGAGTAAATGAGGTGCTCTCTCCTCACAACCCTTCGAAAAACTAGGAACATCATGCTAGAAAAAAATTACGCTCTCAAACCCAACTCTAAACCATATTAAAGGGTTTTTCAACATTAATACAATATTTTTCAACATCAACATTAAAACAATATAGAAGCATATATTGTTGCATCATCAATTGTTAGTTGGACTTTGTAACTTCATCACTTGAATTTATGTGAAATTATAAATTGTCTTGCATATCTCCATAATATTCAAATATTAAATTATATAAAAAGTTGTTTCAATTTTTTTTTTATAAGATAAATGTATGTAATATGATAGTACATACTTAATCCAAGTTTTTCTAAATTTTTTTTAAATTTTTTTGGGGAGGATTTGACCTATTTTTTTTTAAAAAAATCTACTTGATCGGTTAGTTCTGTTAACCGTTCCGGTTAATCCGGTTCCGGTTCAAACCGGACTCCCAGCCTCATGACCGGTTAACCGTTCCGGTTCGATTTTGCAAACACTGGGTGAACCTGATATTTTCTTTAAAAAGTAAAAACTATAGAAAGTCTTAAAAAATAAAGGATTTGTTTGTAATGTGTTTTTATTTTGGTAATGATTGTATAGTGTTTTAGCTATCATTACTTATTTTTACAATTTGGTTTGTAGATTATTTCTAAAATACCTTTAGGCATAAATCGATTTCTTGAAATCCACTTTTTCACTTACTTTTCAACTTCATTTGGAGTTTAATTATGATTTAAGTATACTCTTTTTGAAATTTTTATTTTTTTATTTTTTTAACACTTTTAACTGGCCGATTTATCTGTTACTCGGACCCAGCCCTTGACTGGTTTCCAAGTCCGGTTCGATTTTTCAAGCGTTGTTTCTAAGAGTCGAACTACAGGATCATTTACTACAAACTACTAATTGTTTCAGGCATCTACCCTGTATTTCAAGTTTATAGAGGTCTCGTTTCGGATAAGCGAATCTTATATCCATCTCACCATAATTTTGGGTTATGTCAATCAAAGAAGCAACACTAGAGCTGTTAATGTGCAGGGTTTGGCCCGACCCGACCAAGCCCGAAGTCATTAATGTATACCCGGGCGTGAACAATTAATTTTGGGTCCAGTAAGATATCTTGCCTATGTGGCTGGAAGCCAAAAAAGTAGGACAGGGCCCAGTCCTACTATGAACGTAACGAAAATTTCATTTAACAACTTATGAAAAATTTTGGGCCGGCCCAAAAGCTCTATGGGCCTAAATTGAGAAATCCCGCAGGCCATCGCAGCCTGGCATGTTAACACCCCTAAGTAACACTAACCATCTCTGTCTCTTTGGGTGCTTGGCAGCCGCCGTCGGCGAACGCTTCCTCGCGCGGGACATTACCTTCCAGAACACCGCTGGCCCCTCGAAACATCAAGCGGTGGCCCTCCGTGTTGGTTCAGACTTTTCTGCTTTCTATCGCTGCGACATGATCGCCTACCAAGACACTCTCTACGTCCACTCCCTCCGCCAGTTCTACCGCGAATGCTTCATATACGGCACCGTCGATTTCATCTTTGGAAATGCTGCTGCAGTCCTCCAGAATTGTGACATCCTTGCTCGGCGCCCCAACTCTGGCCAAAAGAACATGGTAACAGCACAGGGCCGGGAGGACCCGAATCAAAACACTGGAATTTCAATCCACAAATGCAGGATCAGTGCGGACTCTGACCTTGCCCCCGTGAAGAGCTCTTTCCCGACGTATTTGGGCCGGCCATGGAAGGAGTATTCGAGAACTGTGATAATGCAATCCACGATTAGCGATGTCATAAACCCGGCAGGTTGGCACGAGTGGAACGGCAACTTCGCCCTCAATACGCTGTACTACGGCGAGTATCAGAACACCGGTGCCGGGGCCGGGACGTCGGGAAGGGTGAAGTGGAAGGGCTACAAGGTAATTACATCAGCATCTGAGGCTAAGCAATTTACGGTAGGCGATTTTATTAACGGGGGAAGCTGGCTAGGCTCAACAGGGTTTCCCTTCACTGCCGGGTTCTAGCGCCTCCAGCGAGGATATTTTCGTAATTTGGTTAAGTGGGAAGGGCATGTTTGTGCCTAGGAAATAAACAGGTGTTTGCATGCTAGGATGGGATGAACGTTGTTTGAGATATGTGTGGATTAAAGTGATTAGTGAGCGGTATTTTAGTCTTTTTACCTAGTTCATGTACACGCTTTGATGGGTAATTTCGAAAATTCTTGATAGATGCAGCTTGGGTGGGTCCCGGCTTATATATATCGAGACACCCCAACTCCTCCTTTTCTTTTATTTGTGTATGTTGCTTTTACATGAATAAATAATAATAATAAAAAATCTTATTATTTTTTATTTATACCGTCCATATCATACTTAAAAATTGAAAATATTACTCCTAAATAAAAAATCTTCATCTTTTCTATCTTACAACTCTCTAGACCCTATCATAAATTTTTGTCTCAAACAAACACTAAATGACACCCTATTTAAATTCTATATATCTCTCTAAAACTCCATCCATTTCTCGTATCACCCTCTCTCTTTCAAAACTCCATTTCTCTTTTTAAAACCTAAACTCCATCTCTCTCTCTAAAACCCAAACTCCATATCTCTTTCTAAAGCTACATCTCTCTCACACATTACCGTCTCTCTAAAAAATAAAGGACAACGGGATAATAAAGTATTCTCTAAAAAATAAGGGACAAGGGGATAATAAAGAAACACAAATAATTCTACTAAGTTGGCCCGGCCCGGACCTATATGACTACTTTGATAAGGCTAGGTCTGGACCTCTATGTCTGGATGTTTGCCTTACACTGAGACTGGCTCCATTAACACCCTTATATCCTATCATCATCATAACAATTATTACATTAGCATTGGCAGATATATTCACAAAAAAATTCCCTTTTTTTTTTTTTAGATTTTTTCATATTTTACACTCAATTCCTGAAAACTTAAAAATAATAAATAATAAAATATACCCCTACAATATTTAGGGGTATTACGATAATTTTATTTATTTATTATAGGTATTTGATGGTAAGAAGTATCAATCTACTACATTTGAGCTCTGATGTATAGAAAAATAATTCAAAATATACCATTTGCTTTATAAAAGTACGTTTTAAATGCAAAATATAAGATATGGGTGTGGTTTGTATAAGGTTGAAGCCCCAAGCATTTAAAGGAAGACGCGCCTTCAAATAGTATCGAGAGGTATTGTTTTAGCAGTGAAAATCTTTGTGATAGCTTAAAAATTTGTTTTTATCTCAAATTAAAAAATTTAAAACTTAAAAAAAAATGCAGATCGAGCATATCTATGAACACTTAAAAATATTGAAAATTGACGATCCAGATAATACATTACAAAATGAACTATTTCCAAGACTTGAAATCCATTTTTTCTCATATCCATACATCTTGAAGTCAAGATGATTGATTTGAGGAATGTTTAGAATCGATGTGCGCCTTAATTTGATTGTTTAGGGCCTCCCCTTTCTATAAACTTTTTCCATAAAATATAGGGATTATTTTTTAAGGGAAAAGTTTATATAGAGCTGAGGCTCTAAACAATCAAATTAGAGCTTATATAAAAAATTTCACCAGAAGACATTGTTTTGATTCCCAAATATCCTCAAATTGATCATCTTGACATCATGATGCATGGACATGAGAAGAAAATGGATTTCAAGTTTTGGAAATAGTGTATTTTGTACGCATTTGTTTACCGTCAAGTTTCAAAAATTTCAAGTTTTCATAGATATGTCGATCTACACTATTTTTGAAGCTTTAAAATTTATAACTAAAAATGAAAATATGTTTTAAGGCTATCAGAAAGATTTTCAATATTAAAATCACATTTTTTGACACTATTTGAAGGTAGGCTCTAATTTGATTGTTTAGAGCCTAGGCTCTATACAAACGTGGAGTGGTATATGGGAAGACTTTGGGTTTTAAGACCAAAATTGGGTGAAAGCGTAATAGATTAGGGCCTTAAAAATTGTAGATAGAGAGTGATCAACGGATTCTAGATTACGTAGGTTTGGAGATTGGTGTTTAATTGGGTGGATTAGAGTTAATTAGATAAACTATGCTAAGTTTGGGGTTAGTAGGAGGTTAAAAAAGGGCAAGGGGTAGCCCAAAAGGACATGATTGGAAGTGGTGAGAAAAGATATGGGGACGCATGACCTCACTGAGGGTATCCCTGATGGATCAGAATTCGTGTAGCCGACCCTAATTAGTTATGAAAGGGCTTTGACGATGATGACGATGCCAAGATTGGATTTATCAAGAGCTAATTTGGGTTTTAAAGGTTTCGTAGTGCCAATTTATATTTCAGGATAACTTAGAAGCGGAAAGGAGAGCTTTGTGATTCATGTTAGGATTCTAGGAGCTTGGAGACGAGTTATGGCCTCTTAAGATCCCTTAAATTGAGTTCAAAGAAGGGGTATTTATAGATGGGTGTGATTTATGTAGGGTTACAATGGTGTTCATAGAAATTAAGTTGCAATACTCTACATCATTTATTTTATTTAGACGATGTAGATTTAACACATCTTTTAAAATAGTATCCGTAAATGGCATGTCTTTTAAGATAGCCTACAATCTACACTATCTAAATAAAATGAACAGTATAGATTCCTACAACTTAATTTCTACATATAAGGTTACGACCTAGTATGAACTTTTTCCTTTATGGAATGAGGTCAAGGGATAGGGTTTTGGATGAATGACCTTGAATTCATCATCAAATCGAGTACTAAATGGCTGTAGACATGTTCCGCAAGGTTCTACACTGACTTGAGGATTAGTAGTTCAATTTGAGCACAAAAAAAAAAGGTATAGTGCAAGGTTTGTTTGATCTAATGCATAGTGTGCCGGATCTAGTGAACCTAGATGTAATTATGCAATATGTTATGTAAATCGGCCATAAAATTCGAATGGTATATCAAAGGGGCACTAGACTTAGATAGTTAAGACTTGTTCATCAGTTGGGTGGAGTTTGAATGTATTGCAATTTGACTATATTTCATGGCATATGAGGCTAATTTGGAAATTTAGAAACCTTGATGCATGTGTCTTGTCTATGCTTAGGATAGGATTCCATGAACTGAACAAATTTCATTTGCCTACACCCACACATATTATGAGGTTCTTTTCAATATCGACATCGTCACTATCATCAATATTTGGTGCAATTTGAGTATGTTTCAAGTGAGGGTAATTTGGAACCCTTGATGCATGTGAATTGTCTATGCTTGGTCTAGGATAGGATTCCATGATCAGTACTAAGGACTGAATAAATTTTAGGTGATTACACCCACACATACCATGAAGTTCTTTTCAATATCGATATCATCACTATCAACAATATCGGCATTGTCACTATCATCAATATTTGATGCAATTTGACTATGTTTCAAGGCATATTATGATAATTTGGAAGCCTTGGTGCATGTGAATTGTCTATGCTATGCTTGGTCTAGGATAGGATTCTATGATCAGGACCAAGAACTGAACAAATTTTAGGTGCCAACACCCACACCTACTATGAGGTTCTCTTCACTTGCAAACTGATGGTCCATTTCTCACTTGGAGGTTCTTTCCACTCATTTGCCAATCGCTGGCCCATTTAACACCATGAGATTCCCTTTACTAATTGATTCTTTCAAATATTAAAACTTCATGTACACTATCGCTCCTGCACCATTGCCTAGGTCTTAAAGATTGCAAAATCTCTTTTCTCCTTCATATTTTGTATCCTATTGGTATTGGTGCCTCCTCCTCTCACATTCATTCAGCTCAGAGTACGTAACAAATATCCAAGAGGGACAACCACAAAGGCCTAAAATTTGCTGGGTTATTTGGCATTGATTCTGGAGCCCCTAGAACACACCTAGAAGCCTTCCCAAACAGTAAAATGGTCAAATTACTTAAATAACACCCGCACTCTGTAACTAAGGGCGGCAATGGACCCAGATCCAACTCGGGACCTGATGTCCAAACCCGACCCGAGTCTGGGTATGGGTCAAAAAATTGGACTTCTCAAGTCAAGTCCGCGTCAAAAAATTGGACCTGACAAGTTGGGTCCGGGTCCGGGTCCAAGTCCGGGTCCTCTATCAGAAGAGTGTTATTATTTAAATAATATTTAATATATAATATTTAAATAAATATAACTACATATTTTTTACTATAATATTTAAATAATATATGTATATATTTACATATTTAAATATATATATTTTTTATTTTTAGATCGGGTCCAATCGGATACGGTCGGATCCGGGTCGGGCTTGCCTACGTGAAATTTAGGTCAAAACTATAAACCCAGTTGATATTCATCTAAATAAGCCCATACCATCTCATAGGAAATTGACCAAGCTTTCCATTGGTCCAAAAATCAGGATAGATTGATAGTGTTATGATAGGCCATTTGAAAGTTATGACCCTCTTTTGAGCAAATCCGTCGATTCCAACCAGGTCCATTGCTTTTAGCACAATATATACTGCACATGGCACACACTGTACCATACCCAATATACTCATCGATTTTTTGGTCAATCTCATACTAAACTAGTTCAGTATTTGTCTAGAGCCTTCTACAATGGTTATAAGTTCGTTGGTATGTAATTTTATGCGATTTGATAATGAAATCATGGATATTCATCCAAATGCCTACCCCCTACGCTCAAACTGTAATAGACCCTCTTAGAACCTAAATTATGAGGTAACAACTGGAATTTTTGATTCCATGACCATACCATAAATCATACGTATAGTTTATAATAATTACTATGTAATTCCCCTCTCTCTCGCCCGCCCTCTTTCTCTTCTCCATCTCTTTCTCCCTCCTCCTCTCTTTCTCGTCTCTATCTCTTTCTCTCTCTTCTTCATGTCTTTATCTCTATCTCTTTCATCCTCTAATTTTTGTAGCTATCTCTCTCTTCTTCTCATCTCTATCTCTTTCCCTCTCCTCCCGTCTTTCTCATCTCTATCTTTATCTCTCTTCTTCTTTTCTCTTTATCTCTCCTCCCCTTTTTATCTCTCCTTCCCTCTTTCTCGTCTTTATCTCTTTTTCTTCCCTCTTTCTCGTCTCTATCTCTTTCTCTCTTTTCTTCTCATCTCTATCTCTTTCTCTCTCCTCTTCTCATCTCTATCTCCATTCGTTCTTCATCTAATGCAGTCGGTGAAGCTCAAATGTGTCTGGATTTCTCTATCTCCTTCACTTCTATGGCAGTAGGTGAAGCCCAGCGTGTCTGGATTTCTCTATCTCCTTCACTTCTGTTGCGGTCGGCATACCGACTAGATTTCTCTCTCTCCTTCTCTTTTGTTACAGTCTATGAACCC